CATTAATAATAATAATAAGTATTCTGGCAAACTTTAAAAAGTATCTCATTAGCATAGACAATATTAGTACTAAATAAAATTATATAGAGAATGAAACTCAATGAAATCCAACAGAAAAACAGATAAGAGTTTCAAGAGGGATGGAGCACTTAACTGTGCCAATATATCTTAATGATCAAGAAGACTGTTGAAAGAACATTGACCATTGGGTTTAAAAAGTAATATGCTATTGTGAACCTCAATAGAAGGTGTTGAGTTATGTAGTAGAAACCCCATCAACAGGAAATGGGACAGAAGTGAAACTGGAAGATTTCTTTATTTAATAAAATAGAAATACTCAATTTTGATTTTGCCTTAAGTATTATCATGAAATAATAAGCAAATGTAAGTATTTGATAAAACATAATGATTTCACTGCTAAGGTCGACTCCTCTAGTATCACTAGGTTTTAGATGGACTGCTTAATGATCTCTAATATAGTCTATATTGAAATATGATGTCATTTTTCAAAGAACCCTGCTATGATACCAAATTATAAATACGCCTACATCAGTTTACTAGTTTCCATACAGCAATATCCAACAGGCTACACTACATGGTTCAAACAGAACTTTCTTTTTCAGACAGTGCCAGAAGCTAGAGCTCTAATATCAGTGTGAGGCCAGCGTAAGTTTCCTCTGAGATCTCACCCCTTGGCTTGCAAGTAGCCTTTGTGCTGTGCCTTTCTGTGGACTACATTCAGTGTGCTTCTATTCTTTATCTCTTTCTCGTTTTATGAGGACATCAGTCATATCAGATTACTCTCTTGACTCACTGTATGCAAAATTTATATTCAATTATTTTCAGATATTTGGGTAGTGGGGATTAGGAATTTCAGCTTATAATTTTAAGATAAAAATAATTTAGCTTATCATCCTCATAAATCTGATAATTTGCAGTGTTTATTAAAGGAAGTAATTGCTTTAAGTAATTTTATATGAAGTGACTTATAACTAAAATTTTATGCTCAATTAAAAACTGCTACCATGTGTGAAGATATTCTGGGATATATGGTTTAGGTGAAAATAAATTCAGTTGGTTATTTGTGCTGGATAGTTTTATGCGAACTTGACATAAGCTAAAGTCATCTGAGAGGAGGGAACCAGAGCTGAGAAAATTCCTCCAAAATATTGGGCTGTAGGCAATTTCTTAATTAGTGATTGATGGGGGCGGGCCCAACCCATTATGGGTTGTGCCATCCCTGGGCTGGTTTTCCTGGTTTCTATAATAAAGCAAGCTGAGCAAGCCGTGGAAGAGGCAAGCCAGTAATCAGCTCCCTGCTAGCACCCCTCTCCTGCATCAGCTCCTGCCTCCAGGTTCCTCCTCTGTTTGAGTTCCTGTCTTGATTTCCTTCAATGATTAACAGTAATACCAAATGTAAATCCAATAAACCCTTTCCTCTCCTAGTTGCTTTAGTCATGGCATTTCATCACAGCAATAGCAACTCTAACTAAGACATTATTCATAATTTTCATTTCTTCCTTTTATTGCCTTTGGTATCAGGTGACTCTTTTTATTATATATTTCTTTTCTGTAATTGAATAATTCTCTTTACAGATACAAAAACAAATCAGGGATGGTCCTGAAAAGGCTTCAAATCCATACATTCTCATTTGAGGAAGATCCAAATCAGAACCAGATAACTCACATTGAAGTCACATGATCGATCTCTATAGTTCCATTATTCCCAATATATGCCAAGGGGGAAAATATAAACAATTCCTTGAGCAGGAGTTCATGGGGAGGAGATGAAGCTAGACCATGAGCTCCAAGTAGTGAGTAGCTTATTGTAAAGGTTCAGGAAGATATGCTTTATGCTGCCTTTTAGTCTTTATCCAGAGATCTAATACCGCACAGCCTTCAGAGAACTGAAGACTTCTAGTTCCATTTACAAGGTCCATCCCATGAGCCCAGCTTTCCAATTAAAGAGAGATTGATTCTGTATAGTTGTGTCAAGGGCTAATTATTAACCTTATATAAGTATTTCATACCTTGGATAATATGAAGCCACCATTATTAATTTTTTTGAAGAAACAAACTAAAGAGATGATTAATGGTTATTAGATGTAAGCAATTGCCTGTTGTTGGAGGGCTTCTCTCCAGGTTCCACCAAAGCCCACAGTCCCACAATCCACGTATAAAATAATCACTCAGACGCTTATATTACTTATAAACTGTATGGCCGTGGCAGGCTTCTTGCTAACTGTTCTTATATCTTAAATTAACCCATTTCTATAAATCTATACCTTGCCACGTGGCTGGTGGCTTACCGTCGTCTTTACATGCTGCTTGTCCTGGCGGTGGCTGCAGTGTCTCTCCCCCTTCTTCCTGTTTCCCCAATTCTCCTCTCTCCTTGTCCCGCCTATACTTCCTGTCTGGTCACTGGCCATCAGTGTTTTATTTATATAGAATGATATCCACAGCAATTGCCTATATAAGCTGTATAATAAAGTGAAGGAAATTCTATAACCTTGTAAAAATAGTAGGTTTTGCATGTTTTAGTGAGCCAATGTTACAACAGTAAATTTAAAACTTTTTATTACTGTTTCTATGATTAAAAAAAAAAAAACTTCTTTGAGAAAGTCTTGCAATGTGTTTTGATCATACTCACCCTCCCTCTCCCAACTCTTCCCAGATCAACCCCTTTTCCCTAATGTCTTAGCTAGGGTTTTCACTGTTGTGATAGACACCATGACCAAAAGCTTCTTATGGAGGAAAGGGTTTGTTTCTTATAACAGCTTACGGACCATCAATCAGGGAAGTCGTAGGAGGAACTCAGGTCAGAAACCGGGAGGCAGGGACTGAAACAGAGGCCATGGAGGAACACTGATCACTGGCTTGCTCATCACGGTTTTCTCAGTCTTCTTTTTATAGTACCTGGGACCAGAAGAGCAAGGGTTGGCAGCTCCATAGAGAGTAGAATTCTCACACATCCATCACATTCAATGGATTTGTTTGCTCACAGGACAGTCTCTTGGCATTTTATCAGTTGAGCGTCCCTCTTTGCAAATGATTCTAGCTATGTGAATCATATCCAACAGATTTGTTTGTTCACAGGACAATCTCTTGGGGGCATTTTAGCAATTGAGTGTCCCTCTTCCCAAATGACTCTAGCTTTGTGAAGTTGATATAAAACTGATCAGTATACACCACCCAACTTCCTGTCTTTCCCCACATCTCATAAAGGACAATTTGTGCTACCCAAATATTCTTGGATGTACAGCTGGTTACTGGAGCAAGCTTGACTTACTAGGGATTATACTTAAAGAGGAACGCAGCTTTCCCTTTCTAACAGCTAAGAATTGCCAATAGCTCCTCAGATAGGGATGAAACTTCCTGCCCATCTTTTTCCTCTTCATGCTGGGCTTTACTATTTTTGTTCACCTGTATTGATGAATACAGTTAGATAGTGGGATGAGCATATTTGCCAAAGATTTCATACTCATTTATAAAAATTACAGTAATTGTGAGAAAACATGACATTTTTTTTCTTACTATCTAAAAGCAATGGCAGGCCAAAGAAAAGGCAAGCTGCTTTGTCAGGTAACATCTGAAGCTGCGAGAGCTGTGAATATAGCCAATATAAAATTGTAAACTTTATTTAAACATTAGAGAGCGGGGATGCCTTTTTTGTTTGTTTGTTTGTAACTTGGTTATTTGATTCGTCAAAGTGAACCTTGTAGATGGCAACATTGTAATGAAATGTCAAAACATTGAACACGCTTTTTCTTGCTCAGGGTTCCATCAGGTTATCTTTTTTTTTTTTTTTTAAACTATTGATTTCACTACACTTAATTCAAAAGCACAGCTCTTATCCCCTAAGTAAACAAGAGATAGTTTATTCTATAGCAAAATTTGAGTGACAGAGGCCCAGAAACATGGATTTAAGTTACCCAGGTTATATACTCCAATATGGAGGCAGCCCAGAGTGTTTTAACCATAATAGAAAAAATTGAAAGTTATAAATCAAAACATTTACAAAACACATTTGTGGAAACATCAGAAAATCAGGTTACAGCAAGATCAGGACAGAGTTTGCCTTGGATGTTATCTGACGATATTTCAAACCCAAGGTTTAATTAAGCTAATACATTTCAAAGTGTTTTTATCTGTTTGTCAGGGTGTCAGTGTCAGGGATGGCTAGTAGC